CCCCACCTATGAGATATCTTAAGGGAAAAAGTTTGTCCCTTTTATTGGGTGAAACTATAAAGGCATAGCAATGCCTCGTTCTAATAAGCAGACTATATAAAATGGAATCAATAAAATATTTTATTTAAATAGTCTTAAAGGGGATATAAAACTCAAATATACAGAAAAATGGAAGGCTGGTAAATAGGTTGATGCCAAGATTTTTAAAAATGAATTAAGAGGCTTATTAAGACCTGTGTAGAAAAATACTGAGTATTCTGAAGTGGTGGCATCAGTCACCCTAATATGTATAGTCTATAAAATCTTTCAATGAACACTAGAGACAAAGTGGAAAGAGAGTGTGGGAAGGGAAGAGTGTAGATAAGGAAATTTTGGGGGGAAATGGAGAGGTAAGACACTTGGGGGACACAGACGGGGTTTTTTATCTGTTGATGAGGATGTGTATAATAGTCTCAAATGGGTTGGACTGAGGTGTGGATCATGCTGGGTAAAGTCTCTTCACAATCTAAGTGATGTATAGTGATTTAATATATAAATAATAATTTAAAAATCAATAAAAATCTTATCAGCTCTCTAAACAAAATTAGGTGACTATTAAAAGCATTAAATAAATAAAAGTCCTATATCATTAAAGAATAAAACTTTAAAATTATTGAAAACATTCCATTTTTTTATGCATATGCCCTATATTACAAATACACATTAAAAAGGGTAAAGCATAAATACATTTTCCTCAAAATTATTTTTGAGATAATCCTGAAAAAATCACATGGCCTCTTTCTAGGAAAGAAATAGAAGCATTTCTTAAAAAATTATCTGAATTGGGACCAGCAGTTAGTGTAATGGCTATGTCACTGGACTCCCACGTAGTCACCCACAGTTTGTGTCCCAGATCCAGTGGCTTAAAATTCACGCTGGGCGCGTGTGCGTGCGTGCCCAAGATCCCAAGAGTAGAATGGAGGAGAAGGGAATGTGGCATGGCCATCCCCCTTGGGGGGTGATTTCTTGCTTTCTGTCTCTCTGTCTCTCTCTCTGTATCTGGCGAGCGCATGCGCCCTATAGCAAAAACCTCTCCAAAAAAAAATTATCAGAATTTATTTTGAAAGTAATTAAATCAAACTCTTAATAATAAAACTTCTTTAGTAGAGTGTATTAACAAGCTTACATCAGAAGTACATGTGTTTCAAACCTCTAAGAATTTTTACACTAATTTCCTGCTTAGAATACTAATCGAAGCATGTCCTTTTGTTTCTCCCATGTTTTAAGGCAAAAAGTTTAACTATCTGGAGAGATGATTAATGTCCAAGAAATTAAAACAGTAAAAACTCAGAAATGAGATCAGCTATAATCCACATGGATAGTGTAAGGACTTCATATATGAAAATCAGATGGCAATCTGAGCTTCTCTGTTGTATGGGGCATGCCTAATATGCTTTCTTACAGAGTTTCTTATTCACACAGCAACAGCCATGTCCAATTACACACACTGTCAAAACCCAGACAGTATTGAATGACTCCAAAATACTTGCAGCAAGCTATGTTAGCTTTTGTACAGCACTCTATGTTAGCATTTGTACAGAAAGTCTTTGATTCAGCCTTCTGTGGTGCTTCTTGGAAAAATTTGCTTTACTAACTATACATAAGATATTCTGGAGGCCTGGAGGTGCTTGTCTAAATCCTGGCAAGGAACAAAAAGGTTTCCTGAAACTATGGATGTAAAGAAGCTAACATAATTCTGTTAAATGCCAGAGTGACTTCATCCAAGAGACTCAGGAAACGCAGGTTATCTTTGTTTTGCTCTATTTTTGTGTCACTGATTACGGATCACTAGTGCCATACCTTTTCCTATATGACAACTTAGGGTTATACTCCTCTGACCTTTCCTTCCGTAGGCCTGTTTCTAATTCTATTTTAAAAACACATCTAAAATGTTTAAATTTTCTTATTGCTACTCACCGTAGTCTCAAACTAAACTGAAAACTCTGGCTGAAATTTAAGCCATGAGGACAGAAAAGATGGCTTTTAACACATCTTGAGAATGTCATCTGTTACTTTTCATGTGGCAATTTCACCTTATAATTAATCCTTAATTCACTGGTGAGTCTACTTGTCTACTTCTCTATAATAAATTATATACATATATATACACACTACTGCTTCAAACATATTAGAAGAATGGTCATGTCTATTGTTTTTACAGACTGTTATTGTTATGGTGGAATGTACAATAGGACAAATATCTACTGGGAAATTTAAAAAGCAATTCAAAAATTATTAAAGTTACTCCAGCCAATAGCATGTTAGTTAAGACAGCTGGAAACTACATGGTCAACTTTATGATTTAAGTACTGACCCTGGCAGCTTGAAAAATGTCCTGTGTTCATGTGCATATGTGCCCAAATCCTGAGAGAATGAGCAGAGACTGCAGCATGACCATATTCCTGGGGGTCACTTTCTCACTTTCCCTATCTCTATCTCTTCCAAGTGGACATGTCCTGTAGCAAATTTTAAACAATAAAATAAAATCATGTATGCATTTTAGCCTAGGCATTTCATGTCTAGAATCTTACAAGGCTTTATTATAATTGTTTATAAAAACATTACTAGTAATTGCAAAAAAAAATCAGACATTTGATTAAACTGGATAGATCATAGAAACACAGGATTACCTGCATAACTCTTTGTAATATCAATAGAAAAAATCAATTTAAAACTGTATGCATACCATGATTCTATTTTCATTAAAATGTTATGAGCCCATATATTCATAGAAAAATATTGGGAACTAATGTCAGTATATTGACATCTTTTCTAGGATATATTCTCTGTATATGGTTAAGTAGAGACAATTTTAGTTTCCATTTTTAAAAAATTTTTGACAATAAACAAATGTCATTTGAACAGTATAAAAACTGTAAATGTTCCTTAAAACTTTTTGAAGGCCAAAAATTACCTAACCATAGTAAATAATCAGAACTTTTTTTTTTTTTTTTGAGAGATTTTTCACTGTAGGGTGCGTGCGCTCGCCAGACAGACAGAGAGAGACATAGAGACAGAAAGCGAGAAATCACCCCCCAGGGGGGATGGTCACGCCACAATCCCTTCTCCTCCATTCTCCTCTTGGGATCTTGGGCACGCACGCACACGCACCCGGCGTGAGTTTTAAGCCACCGGGTCCGGGGCACGAACCGCGGTCGACTACGTGGGAGTCCAGCGACATAGCCATTACGCTAACTGCCGGTTCCCAATAATCAGAACTTTTATAACAAGTTTCTGCATGGCAAAGGACACAGTAATTATGTGAATCAAAAACCCTCAGAATGGGAGAATATTTTTGTAAACTATGCCTCAGATAAGGGACTAATAACCAGAATACAGAGTGAATTCAAGTGACTTACCTGAAAGAAAATGATTAACCCAATTAAAGGATGGTAAAATGGGCTGAACAAAAAACTGTCTAAGGAAGACATATGAACAGCCAAAAAGCATATGAGGAAATGCTCAACATCCCTTATCATAAGGGAGATGTATATTAAAGCCACAATAAGATACCACCTAACCCCGTCCAAATGGCAAAGAATAAAAAAGACATAAATGATGTGTTGGGGTTGTAGTGAAAGGGATACTCTCCCACAATGTTTGTGGGAAGGTAAATTGGTTCAGTTTTTGTGGAAAATAATATGGAGGTTTCTCAAAGACCTACCAATAGAACTACCATATGATTCAGCAGTCCCAGTCCTAGGTATCTATCCAAAGGACAGGAGAACGCTCAGTCAGGAAAGCACTTGCACATCAATTTTTATTGAGGCATTATTCATGATCGCTAAGACATGGAATCAACCCAAATGTCCACACACAGACAAATGGATTGAAAAAATGTGGCACATATACTCTATGGAGTACTAGTCAACCCTAAAAAACAAGACAACCCTGGCATTTGATAGAAAATGGTCAAATATGGAAGATTTATTGCTGAGCGAAGCAAGCTGGGCTATAAAAGAAAGATATTGTATGTCTCCACTTAATATATACTGACTGTCCACTCTATGGTAGAGACTTAAAGATTGGAGGGCATAACAGCAGTGAAAATAGTTATGGACATTGGAGACAGTATGGAAGGAGGGTGGAAGAAGGGAAGAGTATAAGGAAGGAAATCAGGGAGACAAAATAGGAAAGACAGTTGTGGGACACAGAAATGGTTTATTACCTATTAATGATAACATGTATAGTATTCTCAAGTGGACTGGTCTGAGATGTATTTCACGTTGAGTAAATTCCCTTTACAAGCCAAATGATGTATAACAATTGAATGTTTAAAAAAATAAGAAGAATAATTAAATTTAATTTAATTTAGAAAATAAATTGTGCCTCATTTCCATATTTTTGTTGTGAATAGTAATAATAAAATCTGAAAGTCAAAATTAGATTTCATCAGATCAGTTTGGCTCAAGATCTAGAAGTGCAAATACTGAGATGGATATAAAATTACGTTAGCCCTCAAATTTAGTAATTTAGAATTTCATTTTAGTAATGAAATTCCCAACCCTGCTATCAATTCTCAATTTAAAATAATCAGCATTACATATCTAACATTTATTATAATTTCTGGTTTATCTATTTTCAAGGTATATCTCTGTGGGGTACAGTATGGATTTTCAAAGCGTGCATGCAGAGTGTGCAGACCAAAACACAAATATGCAAATTGTCATCTTTCTCAACATGCAACGTTACATTACGCTGTGCACATTGATCATAGTTCTACTCTTCCTTCTTCTGAAATTTTTACTTTCCTGGGGTAATACTGCCCTCTCTGACATACGCAACATATAAACCAGAGAAATCTTTTCCTCTAATTATCTCACTATTTGGTGCATCTATTTTTAATTCAATTGCTCTTTTTAAAATCCAATCCAATTTAAATTTCTGAAAACAGTACATTTACAAATCTGAGTCACTATCATTGTGTGCACTAGCCATACTCAAAGGAAACAAATACCTACATCATCCTCTTGCCCATCTGAGCTTGGGTTGTGGATGTCAGGATAGTGTTTCAGAAACTGGGCTACATAGGTCATAATGGACTTTTCATCTGGTTTATCCACATCAACATCTACGAAAACAAAAACAAAACCAAATGTGAATAAATTAGGATTCATTGAATTTTAAGAATAGAAGTTTTGAAATCTAGCTAGTGTACCAAAAACACACTGTCCTGGGACCTGCAGATGATGTAATGGTTATGTCACTGAACTTCCTCATAATCAACCACTGTTCGAGTCCCAGATCTGGTGGCTTGAAACTCACGTGGTCACGTGTGCATGCCCAAGATCCCGAGAGGAAAATGGAGAAGGGATTGTGGCATGGCTATCCCTCCTGGGGAGTGATTTCTACTTTCTGTGACTCTGTCTCTCTGTCTCTCCGATGAGCACATGCGCCTTACAGCAGGAAAAGAAAAAAAAAAAAAAACACCACTGTCAGGACCAGCAGTTCGCATATTGGCTATGTCGCTGGACTCCCACGTAGTCAACCGCGGTTCGAGTCCTGGACCTGGTGGCTTAAACTCATGCCAGGCACGTGTGCGTGTGTGCCCAAGATCCCGAGAGGAGAATGGAGGGAAGGGATTGTGGGATTGTGGCATGGCCATCCCTTCTGGGGGGTGATTTCTTGCTTTCTGTCTGTCTCTCTCTGTCTGGCGAGTGCACATGCCCTATAGCAAAAACCTCTCAAAAAAGAGAGAAAAAGAAAAAAAAAAAAAACACTGTCCTAAATGCAGAAGGAAAATAGAATTAGTATTTAGAATTGGAGGAAACCAATTTAGTTTTGATGGTATATGGTGGAAGTTTTATGACTCAGAATGAAACACACTGTAACAAAGAGGTTTTGGAAAGAAGTACATTTTATTTAAATAATCTCAACATTAATTCATCAGAAACATGGAATACTGGATGGCTATTGAAATGTTATATCTAGTTAATAAAATATAAATAATGTGTATATTTTAGGACAGGGTGAGTGGGTAGTATAAAAATGCTTATGGGTGTGACATTGGATGACAACTCCTATAATCTATATGACCAAATATAGATTAAGTTCCCCTCGCACACACCCACTAATGTTGCTTTTGAAGAAAGAAGATACTTTATATTCAATTTCCAAAATATATTCTTCATTATGGAGCATGCTCTCTAATTTATCCTACTTTGAACAATCAGGAACGTTCTGAAAGAGATATAGCTTGCAAAGATCTCTATTGTGGTTCTGAAGCTGACAGGTATTTACCTAGCGAAATCAGTGAAAATCAGGCAAAGAACTTTAGATGGATTTTGTAATTATATGTGGAGGGAAAACTACATAAATAAAAAGTGCCAAATGTAAACAAGATTTCTTTTTCTTTTTCTTTTTTCTTTTTTTTTTTTTTTGGTTTTGCTATAGGGCGTGTACACTAACCAGAGAGAGAATGTGAAAAATTGTCTCCCACCCCAGGGATAGTCATGCTACAAACCCTTCATTCTCCTCTCAGGATTTTGAGCACACACACGCACACACATGTGAATAGTGTGTTTTTCAAGCTGTCAGGTCCAGGACTTGAACTTTCTTTCTTTCTTTCTTTTCTTTTTCTTTCTTTCTTTTTTTTTTTTTAAGTTTTTTTTTTTTTTTTTTTTTTTTTTTTTTTTTTTTTCCTTTGGGTTTTTTTTTTTTTTTTTTTTTGCCATAGGGCACGGGTGCTAACTGGAGAAAGACAGAAACAATGAGACAGGAACAATGGAGAAATCACACTCCTCCCCAGGGTGATGGCTACACCACAGTCCTTATCCTTCAGTCTCTTCTTGGGATTTTGGGCATACATGCACATGCACCCAGCATGATTTTCAAGCCACTAGGCCTGGTACTCAAACAGTGGTTGGCCATGGGAGAGTTCAGTTCCTTAACCACTATGCAAACTACTGGCCCTACCACCAACTTATTTTTAAATACCCATTTTAAGCACAAAATAGCGATTTAATATATCAATAATAATAAAAATATATACAAATTTTAAAAATTTGCAACAACCAACAAACAAAAAAATGAGCCCACTACCAAATAAAAAAAATGTACATTTTGCAGAGCAATATATGAAGTAGAAAGCAAAACAAAACATAAAAAGTATAAAAGTAACCTAATAATTTGTCCCCTTAGATTTGAAAAATAGTTTGTATCAACTCTCAATGTAGGATTCACAAAAACACTGCAAATTGCATGATAATGTATTGAAGAATTTGTTAAATGACTCAAAGGTGATTTTAGAAATGACAAGTTGTCGATGCTGAAGATGCAAGAAGGAACAATTAAAGTTGTTTCATATAGGACATCTCTGCACCACATAAGTTAAACCCTGCACATGGGAAACCACATCTCATGCAGTTAGATTGAGTGCCGGAAGTTAGAAAAGCATACCAGCACATGTGTGTGCATGCCCAAAGTCCTATAGGGATGGAGAGAAGGACTGAAAGGGACTGTGGTGCAGCCACACCCAATTGGGAGCTGCCTTTTATTCTTTCTCTCTCTCTATTCTGGGGAGCACACATATCCTCTGGCAATTAAAAAAAAAGTTCATGAAATGTAGAAGCAGAAAGGAAAGCACTATTTAGTACATGATATAATTGGGCTGTTGAAAAAGTCATGACATATTTTCTATGCTTTTCTATGCAAAAACACATCTTGACTTTTCAGGTAACCCAATGTAATGATATATGCTGTTCTATGCGTACATAATTAAATTATAAAATAATTATAACAACTATTGGCCTATTTAATTTCTTTCCATAGGAGTTTATACACTCAATTTGGCTAAATAACTTTTGAAGGGAAGTTCTCGGGAAAATAGGGGATCACCTTATATCTGGGATAGCCTTGTATTTGGACAATCTCGGTTTCTAATCAACAAAATGTTAAAATCTTCTAGGATAGAAAGTATAAAAGAGGCATTTATGGTCCTCCTTTAATGCACTTCACGAAAAATATCAGCTTTTTATACCTTCTGCAGTTGTTTGGGATGTGTGTACAGTTTTTTTTTGTGTGTGTGTATGTGTGTATGTTTGTATACGTGTGTGTGCAGAAATGAGACAGAAAGCCTTCAGCTATCCTAGTGAATGTCAGGGAACTCAAAGCAAGGGAACTTCATGGGATCCCTCCTTTATCTCGGAGGAAACCCAACCATGTGTCTGTAACTTACTCATGGAAGAGCAAGCGTATCCTCTTTGTTTTAGAATTAGAAAAGTTCTTTCTGAAATCCCATCTTTAGAAATAATTTGCTTTCAATGTATATTTATATTTCTTCATTCATTAGTAGAAATTTCCATAATCGTGGACTCAAATAAGAAATTACTTTTTGACATGTGGAAAATTCACTTGGATTCTTTTGGTTTAATATGAAACAAACAATTCACTATTGATAGTTTAGTAAAGTTGAATAAAGTCATCAAACTTGTCTTTCAAAAACTTGAAAAAGTTCACTTCACTTCCAGAAAGTATTAAAACTCATAGCCCTACCACAACAGTGCCAATTGAAATGAAAAATAATAGTCAATCATTCGTGTTGTTTGCTGATTAACACTAAAACTCTGAAGAGTTACTAACATTTCTAAATATCTAATGATGGACATCTGAAAGATCTTAGCTTACTAATAATCTTCTATTTCTTCCAGATTCTTTAGCATGATATAAAAAGATCATTTTTTTACCCTACCACACCCTCAGCCTTCTACATATATACTTCTGAAACATCCATTCTACTCCTGAGTATCCTAAATCCAGTTCACCGTTGATCAATACATTAAGGTTGAAGAGGTATTTGGAATAATGTAGTTATATTTTGCATGCAAATATTTTTCCAGAAGTAAATTGGTGCAGGAAGATGCCATTTTTTTCCCCAATGTTCTCCAGCTTTCGTTTTCATTTTCCTTTGCCTTTTTTTTTTTAGGTTTTTGCCTCAGGGCATGTGAACTCACCAGTGAGACAGAGAAAGAGAGAAAGTGAGAAATCTCTCCCATGGGAATGGGTACACCACAATCCATTCTCCTCCCTTTTCTTTTTGGGATTTTGGGGACTCATACACATGCACCAGGCATGATTTTCAATTCACCAGGTCCAGTATTCAAAGAGCACTTGGCCATGTGGGAGTCCATTGCCTTAACCACTATGCCACCTGCCAGCCTCTTCAGCTTTCTAACAAGTGTCTTGGAAGTTATGTGTAATTTCTGTGTGTAAGACATATAAACCCACTGTGCTGAGATTCACAGCGGTCAACAATTATTCAAAGTACCTTCGGGATCCAGCAGTCTTGGGATCCCCAGTTCCACTTCAGCAATCGTAAAAGCATCCTCCAGGTTCTCTCTGTTAGATCTGCCCTTCACTTTCTCCAAGTCTATGAGTTCTGGTCGAATCGCATGGATAACTGAATGAAAGGCAATCCCACTTCTCCAGCTTCGGCCAAAGTCTTTCACTTCTATCCCAGCTTGCCTTAGGGTGATAAAAATATAAATAATGTCATGTTTTGGACAGTCATAAGCACTTTCTTCAAGGTCTCATACAAAATTCAGTGCTTTTCAACAATGATGTACAGTTAGCTATATCAATTGGTTTTGAGAAAAATTAAGCAAAATAAAATTTTTAGAGAGTAACAAAATAAGATGGAGAAAATTCTGGTTTCATACTTAAGATTTTTCTGTTTTAGATCTTTTCTTCATTGAGATAATTGGTATAAAGCAAATGTTCATACATTTTGGGGGAAGAAAAACAATTTATGGAAAAATGACTGATGACATCTTAAAAAGGAAAAAACATTAAATACCTATAATTAACCACTGTATATTTTTTTGAAGAAATAGCTAAGAAATTTCTAATGATAAGCAGTCATACAAGCTACATCAGATTAAATAAAATGCATTGGAACGTACAAATGCACATGGATGTCATAACACGTCTAAAGTGTTACAAAGGGCTTAGGACTCCACAGCAGTCTAGATAATAGTTCCAATTATCCCACCAATCAAATTATTTTTAAACTCTTCTTTTGGAATTACCCTAGTAGCAAATATTTCTTTTTTGTTTGATGGTGGAATTGATTCATCCAAAACCAGTTATAAATAAGAGTTGTAACCAGCTGCAATGGTGCACAGGTAACACCACCAACTGGGAAGCTGGGGCCAGCACAGGAGGCAGTGCCAGGTTCCATTCCCTGAGCACCTGGGTCTGGTTGTGCCTGTCTCTAGTCCTACCTATTGGGAGGCTGGGGCCGAAGATTCATGACACAGTGAGACCCTGTCGGAAATGCCTGTCTTGTTCTGTTCCCGGCTCTCCTTTCCTCTTGTTTTCAAAAGGAAAAAAATGATACTCAAGTTGATGATAATATTTTGTCATTGAAGTCAAAAGTGGGATGATCTCACAATAAGTTTTGTTTTCCTTTTCTACATGTAAGTATCAGTTTTAAAAGCAATTTAAAAGAGTTACAAAGAGGTTCTGAGCATCAGTATGGCCTCTTGATTAAGTGTTAAGCCTATAAATGTGATCCCTCACTAAATCAGGAAACATTAGAGGGGCAAGTAATCCAGTAGGTTCTTTTGAAAATATGTCTCCTTAACTTTATAGTGGTTTCTACATAAAGCAGAGACATCACTCAATTATTTTTTGTTTACCAGAGTCTTAATTTTCCATGACAAATGCAATCTAAGTGACACACCAATTAGTATAAATTATCAAGTGCCCTTAAATTTTATCTCAGGAAAGTTGAGTTTCTCTTTACAACAGGTTTTACCAATATAAATTCAGCTTGTATAAAATATATTGTGTTAAAATAGTATAATGTATGGCTAAATGAATAGCTGAATTACAATTACTCTACAGCATTATATGTAAACTAATGCTGTATATGTGTGTGTGTGTGTGTCTGTCTATGATCCTTACTAATTTGAATGAATTTTAATTTGAGAATAAACTTCAAGCAATTTACTTCAAAGACAAAAAAAATAAAAATAGTATTATTGGACCTAATCACTGATGTCATAAATAAATATTTTAAAATAATTTTGTAAGATTCCAGTTACTATAATCTTGCATCCTCTCTTGATTCTCTTGAGTTTTTGTCTCTGATAGTATATAGTTTTCTCAGCAGACGTCTGAGATCCTCAAGGATCGAACATAAGATCCTCAAGGATCGAACATAACACCCTTGTTACCTCTTCATTTGTGAATTCATTCATCTCCTGCTTTGTCTTACTTTTATACCTGTATTCTCCCTTTGTCCCTATTCCCTCATGTTAAAAGATTTTCAAATATTTAAGCTACCTTAAATTAATTATTAACAAAATAGACAAGAATGTAACTAAATAACTAGCTAATATATATTCATATGTAATTAGATCATTTCTGATTTTGCTTGAACTTATTTATTGTTTTAGAAATTAAAAAAATACATATAGAGGTCAGCAGGTGGTATGGTGGCTAAGGCACTGGACTCCCACATGGGCGACCAGGGTTTGAGTCTCTACTCAGCTTGAAAACCACACTGGGCATGTGTTCATGCATTCCCAAAATCCCAAGAAGAGAATGGAGGAGAAGGGACTGGAGCATGGCAATCCCTACTAGGGAGTGGTTTCTCACTTTCCCTCTCTCATTCTCTCTCAGTCTCTCTCCAGTGAGCACACCCACCCTATGGAAGAAATCTAAGATATATATGTAATTTCACTAAATTTACTACATTGGGGGCCAGCAAGTAATGTGCTGATTAAGGGTGCTGGACTTCCATAGGGCCAACTGTGGTTCTAGTTCCGGATCTGGTGACTTGCTTTCTCATTTCCCTCTCTCTCTCTGTCACTCTGTCCCTCTCTGGTCAAATTAAAATAAATAAATAAAGTTAAATAAAATAATTTTTTAAAAAATTTACTATATTGGAATAATTAAAATGTTTCAGTATATTTTCAGTCTACTATATTTGTTGAGGAAAAAGATTATATATATTATATAGATTATATATGATATATATAA